CCATCCAGCCCCATGTTGAAAACGTGACCGTTGTTCTCGGCCAATCCCAAGCCGACTGGTCGAATGTTTCTTTATTATTTTTTTCTTCTTTCCTTCTTTGTGTTTTACTTGCCATTGTAACTTTACCCATCTTCATTGTATTAGCTTAATTTGTTCCATTTTTTTTTTGTATTTCTGTACTACCTACAACTATGCTATTGTACCATCGCCTATCTCAATGATACTGCGATGAAATTAAATGTCCTGTTAAAGGCCTATGCCATGGAGCCGAATGTTATTGTATCAGTTGTACTGTTGTATGTGATAGAGAGTGTGAACAGGTTGTGAGCTGAATGTTATTGTATCAGTTGTATTGTTTTATGTGATAGAGAGTGTGATCCGGTTGTGAGCTGAATGTTATTGTATCAGTTGTATTGTTGTATGTGATAGAGAGTGTGATCAGGTTGTGAGCTGAATGTTATTGTATCAGTTGTATTGTTGTATGTGATAGAGAGTGAGATCAGGTTGTGAGCTGAATGTTATTGTATCAGTTGTATTGTTGTATGTGATGGAGAGTGTGATCAGGTTGTGAGCTGAATGTTATTGTATCAGTTGTATTGTTGTATATGATAGAGAGTGTGATCAGGTTGTGAGCTGATTGTTATTGTATCAGTTGTATTGTTGTATGTGATAGAGAGTGTGATCAGGTTGTGAGCTGAATGTTATTGTATCAGTTGTATTGTTGTATGTGATGGAGAGTGTGATCAGGATGTGATCATCCCTGGCTTTGCCAGCTTGCCTGACGAAGGAGGAGATGTTATAAATGGGATTAGCTTAGGATAGAGGAGTGGGATAAAATATCGTTTAATTTTTAATTGTATTTATGACCACATTATTATATTGTTTAATTGTAGATTAGATAAATCATAATATCTGTAATAGGAATAGTCCTTAGTTAATTTGATTGAACGTCCCCTAACTAGATACAAGTCTGAAAAGCCTGTAGTTGTCCCAGTCATAAAAAAAGTTCGAGTTAATGCTTGCACATGTTTGGCGCCCCCCCCCCCCCCCTCTCGCGGGACTGCTGGGGTTAGGCAGGGGTTGGGTTACCTTAGGGTGAATTTGGGGCCGCGTGAATCAATTAGGTTGTTGAATGCTAGACTTGTTATCGTGTAGTAGTGTGTGTCTTGTTCTACGTGGCAGAACTGTGTGTTAGTTTATTTCCTATTACTCAAGTGTATTAAAGTCTTAAAATTGTACATGTGTTGATATTATTCAATTAAGGATTAAACTGTTACTTCAACTCACTGCAGTCATCAACGACATCAAATCATATACTAACCATACTGATGATTCATAACATGGCCCCTTGGGAGCAAAGGGCTGCAGCTACACATTTCCAGCGGACTCGGTTTTGGAATTGGAAATTTAACTCGATTCGGATCAGAAAATAAAACAGAAACTAAAAAAAAACAAATACAGAAATGAAAACCGTAAGTAGATTTTAAAAAAAAATAGATGTTAAACTAGAAAAAGAACCAGAACCTAACTAGGTTTTTACCCTAATCGTAACATTTGACTGCAACCGCAATGCTACGCGAACTGGAACCGATATCAAACCCGGAAAATAAATCGAAACAGAAAAAAATAGCTTTAAACGGAACTGAAAGTTTCAACAGAACATGATAGTTTACTAAAAAAATAAATTTATTCGGATCCTAAAATTTAAAATTAAATAAAAATTTACATTAAATCCCAATCACCTCACATTAGCTTTATCATTACCTCACAATAACCTAACCCTTACCTCGCCTTTACCTCAACACTATATCACAATAACATCATCATTAAATAACATCAACCTAGGAAAAACATCATAATGTAAAATTAAAGCTCCCTTTTGAACCTGACAGTCTACGGGGCAAGTGAAGTACAGTTCTCTTGTTTCTACGACCTCGGCATATAAAGGACTAGTATGGTCATCTGTTTGCCCAGCCGCCTTTACTTACGTGAGTAGGTACTCATCAGAGTTGGGTGAACTCAGGGAAGGTCTACAGAGCAGTTCAGCTCTCTAACGCTATGCTACTCCGTGCCATATGACACCATATTATCTCACTATTATCTCACCGTACCTCGATATAATCTCACAGATGTTTCCATTAAACCAACCTTCTATTCTTAGCTTTCAACGCACGACTCAGCGTTACCCTCCCAAAGCCACCCTACTGCTTGCTAATAATGTGTTAATCTCTTACTCTAAAGCTGGGATACAATAGCATGTCTGCTTTTGTTCTAATAGTTAATCAGTTCTTACAGGTTGGGAAATATTGTTATTCATGTGAACCCGCATCATGTCCTCCTGGCTCTAACTAAATAACGGATGTTTTTTAATGGAAATAATTTTAGGTCAATCCTGTATGAAAATGATACATACACAGAATAGACGATGTTATTAGAATAGAATCAAACAAATACATCTAGGTTTATGTGACTTTGTAATAAGGATTACCTTACCAGCATGCACATCTGTGTTCTGTTCAGTACAAAGTGGTGTAAACCCTAGCCATTGATATGTTTACTTGTGGTTCAATGGATCATTGAAGATTAGCCGTTATCGCTTTGCACCAGCCGTGTATAGTCATGTCGAAATGTTTATGTTATCGAACAAATATGTTTGTTTACACAATGTTTAAGAAAAATTAAAGAGAACGCATAATCTACGTTCAAAACTGCAAAAGCACCGGATTTTAAAAATTAACCTTCACATTAACTGCCATTCCATTATTATCATGTTTTGCTAAACAAATATACTATCTGAGTAAAGTTGTGTGTAAGGAGTGGATTATGTGTGTAAGGATGGAGGTTGTGTGTAAGGATGGAGGTTGTGTGTAAGGATGGAGGTTGTGTGTAAGGATGGAGGTTGTGTGTAAGGAGTGGATTATGTGTGTAAGGATGGAGGTTGTGTGTAAGGAGTGGATTATGTGTGTAAGGATGGAGGTTGTGTGTAAGGATGGAGTTTGTGTGTAAGGATGGAGGTTGTGTCTAAGGATGGAGGTTGTGTGTAAGGATGGAGGTTGTGTGTAAGGAGTGGATTATGTGTGTAAGGATGGAGGTTGTGTGTAAGGATACAAGAACACGTGTAAACATACATGAACACATACATTAATACAATACAGGCCAAACTTTATAAATGACTGGTTGTTATGCTTTCGTTTATCAAACATCTCTACGTCGCTTTGTTTCAGATAATTCATCTTTCAACGAAAAGGGTGAGGAAAGAATAAATTAAATAAAAAAACAGTGCTTAGATGGGACGACGTAGTCTAGTGGTAGCGAGCTAGACTGCTAAACGGAGTGACTCGAGTACGAATTCCTTTTGGAGTCAGAGGAACATCCCTGATTCCACCCAACTCTGATGGGTACGCAGCTCACGTTAGGGAAACAAAGGCGACTGGGCGTAGTGCTGACCACACTATCCCTTCTTATGTCGAGATCTCTACTTTATCTTCCCTCGTGTCTTACTGACGAACGGGAAAAGATTATGATAATGAAAGTTCTGGGTGAAGGGATGGATGGGAATGTTTACTATTGGGAACCGGCAAAGGCGTGAAGGCTCAGAATGATAAATGGTCAGTAACTCATAAATGCGATCATCTTTCTTCCCACTCATTTTCCAAGCGTTTTTGTAATCTAGTCAAAATATTGTCTTCAATTTTCGCAATTATAATTTGAGTTTGGTGAATGGGGTGAAGTTTTATGATTAAATCAAACTACAGAAATTTATAACATCTTTAAGCTTATTCTTTTACAAATGTTTAATGCTTCTCAACCCCCTCCCCCCATCACAATACAACCTTTTTTCACACAACGTAAGTATAAATAATATAGCAATGTGTCATCTTATTTAGCGGTAATATTTATTTAGTTTGAAGTGTGTATGTGTGTGTGATTATGTGTGTATGTGTGAATGTGTATATTGGCGCGGAGCTATTTTTTTGTAAGTAGCTGAAATAACATTTGTCCTCTGTGATTATTCAGAAATAAATATAGTATTATACATTAAGCGGGAGTGATCTCCATTAAACTTTCTCGAATATTCTTATAAAACACATTGGGGGATGGCAACTCGGGATAAAGACATATAATAGATGTTACAGTATAGTACTTGGTTTATATTGTATTGACCTAAACATATATTATGTTTTTACTAAATTACATGAGTGTCCCATGTTTTCTTTTGCCTGACCCGCTGCTCACCGTAACTGTCCTACATTCTCACCTACATAATGACATTTTAAATTGTGTTTTATATAACTCTACATTTTCTGTCCAGAGAGTTAATGACTGACACGCCTAGAACAATATTTATTTATGATTGGAAACCCATACTAAGTAGATCCCGAGTTTGAATGACATATGCTGATTAACTGGTTTAAATGTTTAGCAATAGATTGAAATAAATGTAAATTGAATACATGGAATAGCGAATGTTGAAAATGTTAGAACCTTTGTATGTATTGATTTTAACGTTTTGTTTACAAGATGTACTCATTTAATTCAACACAATCCAGAGATTATTTAAACACAAACTGGTTAAACAGAAATATGTGTATTAATGACAGCTGCCGTCTATCTGTAGTTTTAAACATGTACAGCTGTTTTTTAACGATTTTGGTTTAAGGAAAAACTAGTATTGCCAGCAGTGATGATTTGAGTTGGTTTCATTACATTTGTGACAGCTGTTGTATAAGAGTTAATCAAGCAAAATTGTGTTCACATCAATAATTTAGTTTTCAAAATACGTGTCTCGGGCAGCCCTAAACAAACGACTTAAATTGGTAGGGTGGAATGAGGGGGGTGGGGGTTAGTATTGCTGAATAAATATTATATACCAGCCAGCACACCACAATACTTTAGCAACCTACGCAATCGTCCCACAACACATTACTCTAGCAGCCTACTCAATCGTCTCACAACACAATACTCTAGCAGCCTACTCAATCGTCTCACAACACAATACTCTAGCAGCCTACTCAATCGTCTCACAACAAAATACTCTGTACGTGTAAAGTAGAGAGACGTAAACAATAGCCAGTCACGTGACCTACACCTGATCAGGCTATTGAATACGTTGTGCTTTAGTTGCCTCACGTCTGCTGACAACTGCTTGGTACAACGTGTGTGTCGCTGAGTACAAGAAACACGGTGATCACGTGTTGCAGTAGGTGGTCACAGCTTTTACTGTCTTCATCTTGCAGAAGGCTCGTACATCTGATTTCACTTGGTTTCATGGGATCTCACAAGATTTAATGTGATTTAAATGGATTTCATGTGATTTAAAGGGATTTACTGGGATTTCAATCAGCAAGCCGTCAACTACGTGAGTAAGGCACGTAATCTATGAGAACAAGGCACGTGATCTAGCACCCCAGACAGACGGATACAACATACGAGATCTAGCACCTTTGACACACTGCCACAAGACAGTCCAAGTGAAATGGCGCGGGTTGATTACGTGCAGCGGTTGGTGAGTTGCTTCCGTCTGCTGGTGCTGGCTGTGTGTGGGTTTATCGTGGCGTTCAGCAGTCCGGCGTGGTCAGCCTTGTATGCCTTCTACGACTACGTCTACACGGGGCTATGGATGTGCAGGGACTACGTGTGGTGCTCAAAGAACCTGCTTGGTAAGCTGCTTTTTAGTGTACCCAACACATGTGCTTAACGTGTGCGTTGTTATAAACAATTTGAATGGGTGTGTATTTTATCAATAGCACTACCAAGTCTATGTATACATGTCACGTGATGTAAACTTTAACCTCCCAACACACCCAGGGAACCCACTAACGACCCAGTTTCTGGAAGTTGTTGCTCTGATTGCTGACGGCATATCTGTGGCGGCAGTGGTGTTTTCCTATTGCGTCCACGTCCGCAGGAACAGATTTCTCATCTACCAGAACTTGGCTCTCAGGCTTGCAGCAGTGGCGGCTACTGTGGGAGGTAAGATTTGATGGGGGGAGGGGCAGTGTTTGAGGTAAGATGAAATGGGGGGGGGGCAATGTGTGAAGTAAGATTTGATGGGGGGGGGGGACAATGTGTGAAGTAAGATTTGATGGGGGGGGGGGGCAATGTGTGAAGTAAGATTTGATTGGGGGAGGGGCAGTGTGTGAGGTACTTTTTGCTGAGGGGGGGGGCAATATTTGAGGTAAGATTTGATGGGGGCAGTGTGAGAGGTAATGTTTGAATAGGTCGATAACTAATGGAGATTCAAAAGGGGGGGGGGAGCGGAGGGGGGTCTGGGAGGTAGTGTAAAAATCTTTGCTCATAACGTGTGTCATTTGTGCTTCGTCTGATTTATTAGCTTGTTTTTTTACATCAAGATGTAACAGGAACATATGAACACATGAACATATGAACATATGAACACATGAACACATGAACACATGAACACATGAACACATGAGCACATGAACACATGAACACATGAACACATGAACACATGAACACATGAACACATGAACACATGTACACATGAACACATGAACACATGAACACATGAATACATGAACACATGAACACATGAACACATGAACACATGAACACATGAACACATGAACACATGAACACATGAACACATGAACACATGAACACATGAACACATGAACACATGAACACATGAACACATGAACACATGAACACATGAACACATGAACACATGAACACATGAACACAAGAACACATGAACACATGAACACATGAACACATGAACACATGAACACATGAACACATGAACACATGAACACATGAACACATGAACACATGAACACATGAACACATGAACACATGAACATATGAACATATGAACATATGAATATAATTTTGAACACATGAACATATGAACAGCTTTAACACTGTTCTTGTCGCCCGTTATGTCTAAGATTGTACATTCCCATTTGACTTGAATGTCAACAATCATGCAACATACATTCATAATTCAATGTTAGGCCTCAGTTGCCCCAAAAACATGCCTGGACTAATCCTGACGCTATTACATACCTTAACAAGACAAACAATGCGAACAAATGAGCCATGATAATCTTTGAGAAGCCTTCAATTAGATGAACCAGTTATTTAGATTTCTACATTACTTCGTATAAAAGTTTGAAAACTATAGTGTGCTTGATTTAATCCTAATCAAATGTTTTGTTAAACCTTACAGCAATATTGATTTAACCTGATTTCTATTGTTTAATCTTAATTTCTTGTGTTTAACGTAATCCTAATCCCGTGAATCTAATCACAGGTGTCGTAGGTGTGCTGGGCGCTATACTCTACTCTATCTACACACGCGACAGACTGGCTTGGGCTTTCGTGTTGTCGTTTTTTGCATCTGTCGTCATCATGGTGAGCGGTGTTGGCCTGCTTGTCCTGGGCACACCTCGAGCTAAACAGATATTTAAACGGAATTTTCAAATTCTGATTTGCTGCACATCCCCCACAAGTTTTTTTTAATAGCTTTTATTTAACTCGCTTCCTCATACTTCCTCGTAGTTCTTCGTCAGTCATGGTGTGTGAAATTTCGAACACTTCTAACGGACCAATTTTTTAAAAATTTTGCATGTAGATCAAAATCTGATAACAATGCAATGTTCAATCAAAATTTGATTGACTTAGTGCGTAATTTATTTTTGATTTTCTAATTAAAGTTTCCTACAAGAAATACTAAATTTCCGCGATATAAAACGCACATTGTTTTCATTTGCAATGCAATTTTATTGTATTAAATCTTTAAAGTATTAATTTTTTTAAAATAAAAATCTCATTATTTTTACAAGCTGTTATTTAGATCGTTATGTCTGTATGTTATTTGTTTGTTTGTGGGTATGTGGCGAATTTTGTACATAATTTTTGACCCACTTCTAACGCAGCCATTTCATTCAAATTTTTCACATACTCTCCACGTCGATGACAATACAAGTCTATCTATTTTTTTTAAAATATTAAATTAGATATCTCATAACACATTAAACATTAACATAAACAGTTTCGAAACTAAGTAAAATAAATTTATTTACTCGATAGATTGTTATTATTAAACTTCGACTTCATGAATTAGGAGTCACTATAAGTAGAAAAGCTTACGCTGAATAATTATTAGAAATAAATGCAACAACTCTTCCCTGCCTGCACTATCATTACACACTTAAATAACCGCCCTGATACGGTAAGCCTCTCTATTTACCCATACGATCGAATCATTTCAGGTTTATTCTTGTTCATGTGGTTAGTTGTATTATATAAAGACGTTTTCAATCAGAACTGTCAGTGTATGTAATGTGTAGAGGCCCCAGAGATGCGTGTAGTTTGAAAAGTAGAAAACAGATGTATATGAGAGACAATAAACTTTTGGCTCTAGGCTAGTGGCTCTAGGCTAGTGGCTCTAGGCTAGTGGCTATAGGCTAGTGTCTATAGGCTAGTGGCTATAGGCTAGTGGCTATAGGCTAGTGGCTATAGGCTAGTGGCTATAGGCTAGTAGTTTTAGGCTAGTTGCTATAAGCTAGTGGCTATATGCTAGTGGCTATAGGCTAGTGGCTATAGGCTAGTGGCTATAGGCTAGTGGCTATAAATTTGTGTATTAGTACATATAGGTTGTTGGTTAAATATAGCTAAAGCTAGATAAGAATATACATATATATGTATATATAATATATATATATATATATATATATATATATATATATATATATATATATATATATATATATATATATTTATATATTATTACGAACACCACTCTATCAGCCAGATAGCTGGCGAACGTACCCGGGTTCTTTTAGATGGTTATACACAGATGGCATAAAGCCCTATAAATGGAAGCTTTGACCAGCCCATAATTAGTTTGTACATCTCGAGAGAGTGCCTGATATGTACTAGCAGCTTTCCCTATAAGAACTGTGCTTAATAAAGCGGTGAGAGAATTTTCGGGCCATTCACATGATTTAGCTAAACTCTCAAAGGAGTTAAAGAAAACAACTAAATCTACCTCGCTAAACTTCGGGACCAATTTACCAAATTTGGCAATAACCTTAGCAACTGACATCTTTTCAGGTTCCACTACAGAACTCACATTACCACTAACCTTAGCGAATTCCAACTCTAGCCTCCGCTTATCTAACTCTATCTTAGCTCCTCCTTCTATAGAGCAACTTTAGCTTCTAACTCTTTTTCTTTTAAGACCAACTCCTTCTCTTCTAAAGATTTCTCTTCACGAAGTAACACATCAGCTAACAGACTTTCCTCAAACACATTTTCGTTGATAAAGTGTACTATAATCTTATCTCTTAACACTTCTGACTTTTGAGTAACAGAGTAATCTAAATTCAACTCTTTCACTACACCAATTAAATCCTTCCTACTGAGTTTCTCAACCTCCTCAACTGTAGGTTTCAACAAAAAAGCCTCCATTATTTAGCTTGGTTTCAAAATCAAAACAAACGCAGCACAAGGATCTGCTATGAACTCAACCTAAATCTAGGACACGACACGTCTGGCCTCCTGACCTAGATAACAAGACTATAGCCTTGAGCGGTGTACACACACAGCTCTAGTGGACTAAGCGACAACTGACTAGATCTAAACCTAGTGTCTAAACCAAAACTCGTACAACAAATTAAATCCCGGACAAGCCCCCTCTTTTATTACGAACACCACTCTATCAGCCAGATAGCTGAACGTACCCGGGTTCTTTTAGATGGTTATACACAGATGGCATAAAGCCCTATAAATGATAGCTAGCACAACAGTTAACGAGGACACGTACTTAACGTCTAGGTGATACACTCGATGAACTCCTGACGCCAACAACACATTTTTTCCATATACAACTTTTAATATGTGTACAAATTCAAGATTAGGCTCTAGCTTTATACAGAATAAAATGAATGAGTAGAATATCAAAACCCAACTTACAAATTGAGGAAAAAACACTATTTCACACTATCACAGGATATAGCACTTAGGAAAATCACCACAGCTTATACGACACTACTTTAAGCACAAAATTTTACTTAAAACCACAAGTAATAATGGAAAAATGCTGCTTAGAAACTATAGGCTACAAAATAGCGACACTCAAGGCTTTCCCTCTCAAAGATGTCTGGTCTGACTTGCTGCTACGGACTGCTGCGGTGGACTGCCTGCAGAAGTGTGAGCGCAGACCATTTGACACCTAAGTGTCTAACCACTAGATAAAAAATTTGATTTTCTTTTTTTTACATAAATCAAAAGCCAGTATATTTCCCCATAATGAATGAAAATATTAGAGAAATCTGTAGAATCGAGATATAATCATTTGAACAAACCGCCTATTATTTCAAGCGCTAAAAATCTCGGCGCAAAACGAATATTGCTATATTTGTCAGTACACTTTTGATCGGGAACGCAGTCGCATGCTGCAATCACACAATTTTACACCACAGCAGTCACAGCACTTAAAGGTAAGAATATTTGATTGATTATTTTCAGCTATTCTATTACATTTTATCATTTTAAAGAATAATAAACAAATAGTATTTGTTTAATATAGCCTATTTCCAGATTTTCAATAACCAAACTTATTTGTTTACAATTTTTTAGGCTAACACAATGCTTTAAAACTAGATCTTCATTCTAAAAATCTAAATATCAATCATAACAATATTATTCGAATTATATTTCCACAAGATTGTGCAATAAATTTAATTATTGTTCATTTACTACGAGCTTTAGACTGAGGGTTTAGCTTCGTGTAAAGAAATGTTTATATTATATAGGAGGTTACAAAATGTTGGGCGTACATGTTCAACGACATGTTTAGTCTCTCTCGACATACCAGCCTCTCTCGACAGACAATCATTTCTCAACATGCCAGCCTCTCTCAACAGACCAGTCTCTGTCAACAGACCAGTCTCTGTCAACAGATCAGCCTCTCTCAACAGACCAGCCTCTCAACATATCAGTCTCTCTTAACAGATCAGCCTCTTTTAACATACCAGCCTCTCTCGACAGACAACCATTTCTCAACATACCAGCTTCTCTCAACAGACCAGCATCTCTCGACACATCAGCCTCTCTCAACACACCAGTTTTACCACATAACAGACCAGCCTCTCTCAACAGACCAGCCTCTCTCAACAGACCAGTCTTACCATACAAGTCACCAGCATCTGTCAACTGACAAATCTTAAAGGCACCAGCATCTCTCAACAGACCAGCCTCTCTCAACAGATCATTCCTACCATACAAGAGACCAGTCTCTCTCAGCAGACCGGTCGAAGTATACAAAATACTGACCAATCTTACCCTCCAAGATACTATACAAGAGACCAGCCACTCTCAAAAGATTAGTCATATCCAACAACAGACCAACCTCTCTCAACACACCAGTCTTACCATACAAGACACCAGCCTTTCTAAACAAACCAGTCGTAACAAACAATAGACCAGCCTCACATAACAGACAATAGACACCAACCTCTCTAAAAAGACCAGTCTACCATACAAGAGACCAACCACTCTCATAAGACCAGTCAGACCTATCAAGAATTCGATGCGACAAATATTTGTGCACTGCAGTACAACCATGATACTACTATCTACTTCAAAGTGAATTAGCAGATAGCTGGCAATTGCTAAGCTAGGGTCGTAAGATTATGATCTCATATGTAGCCCCTGACAAGTTGTACAAGAGCAGAAAAAAAATATAAAAGCTGTCATATATGAGCACCTAAAAGCAAGTCATACATTCAAATTTTTGTGATGATTTGCCTGATTTTAAAAATATGTTGCTATTTTAATGTTTCTTCATATGACGTTTATTCAAAGAATACATTTAAAAATAAACACATTTTTTGTTACAGTTTGTAAAATAAGTAAACATTAAGTCATTATTAATATGATTGATGTGTTATGTCTCATTCATAATATATCTGACAATAACGTTTATATTTTTACTATTATCATTCTATTAACCCAGCACCCAGCAGATTTATTAAAATAAACTGTGAGAATAGAAAGATGTAATAAATAAAGCATAACCTTCAACAGTTAACAAGTTTAGTGCTAAATACAGCCATAATGAATAAACAGTCGAAAGCGATAAAGCCATAATAAAACATCTCTACTAAAATTAAACTTACCCCGTAAAGTAGAATAAACTCAAAAAATTAAAATAAGAGCCCACAACTACAATCTAAATATTATGAAGTGTTAATTATAACTTAAAAACATAATTAAATCACGTTCATTGGACAAAACGAACGAACGTGACTGAGACCGAAATCCTCGGTTCAAAACAGCTAAGTCTGCGCGCGCACAGATAGACGGTTTGCAGCGAGAGTTTTAGACCGAGCAAAACCAGCTATCTTTTAAACCTGCTATAATTGTGTAAATATTAATAAAACTCATTTTAAAACGGTACAGTATAGTCGGTAGTCTAGCGGTAGAGAGCTAGACTGTTAATCCGAGAGTCTCGAGTACAAATCCCTATTGAAGTCAGTGGAACGTCCCTGAGTCAACCCAAGTCTGATGGGTACCTAGATCAAGTTAAGAAAACAAAGGCGACTGGGCGTAGTGCTGATCACACTATGCCCTTGTATGCCGAGATCTCTACTTCATTTACCAACGTGTGTTAGTCACGAACGGGAAATGATGATGATAATAAAAGTTCCGGGGGAAAGGGCGGTAGTGTGTACTGTTGTGGACCGGTAAAGGCGTGGAGGCTCGGAGTGACAGATGGTCAGTAACTCATAAATGCGATCCTCTTTCTTCCCATCCATTTTTTCTAACGCTTA